CGTACAAGAATTAAAACATTGTATAACAGGAATGCATCAATCAATGTATAGAAAAGATTATGAAACAGCAGCATCTTATGTCAATAAGGCTTTTTCAATAGACCAAAAAATATTAAATGGGAAATTTGCAGAAATGGCTGTGCCATCATCAGAATATCCAGAAATACCAACTAAAACTTTAACAGATATTAGAGAGGCTTTATTTACTATATTTTCAAGAGAATTTGATTTAGCCATACAATCAAAGGATGAAAAAAGTATTAGTAGGTTCTTTAGATTATTTCCTTTAATTGGTAAAGAAACTGAAGGTTTGGATAAATATTCAAAATTTGTTTGTGGAATCATTGCTGATAAAAGTCGAGCTAATCTTGTAGAAAGAGGTAATATTAATGATGATGATGATGACAATGATCATAATGATAACAACAATAATAATTATTGTTGTTATTATGATTAAATAATAATCTTATTGTTATTAGTTACAGGACCAAACTTCTATGGGCATGCTCTAAATAAATTATTTGAAAATATTGCAATGATTATTGATCATCATCAACCTGTTGTAGAAAATCATTATGGATCTGGTAAAATGATCAGAGTTATTGAAAGACTTCAAGAAGAATGTGACAAACAAAGTATAATTATTATAAACAGTTTTAGTGATGAAAGAAATCTTGAAAGAAAGGTATCAATAAATAAATAACTAATGGTAATGGTAATAATGAAAACAAATATTAAAATTAGTTCAATATATTTTTTCTTATATTGATAATTTTTTTAGGTAGTAGATGTTCGAACTTATAATAGTAGTGCATCTAAAAAATCTATTACTAATTCACAACATTCAGGCAAATCATCAAAAAACAATGAAACTAATCCTGACCCAAGAGAATTAGATTTAATATTATCAGAATTAGCAATGATTAGTGCAAGATCATGTTTATATCTTAGGTTTATGGAATCTAGAGCACAGGTATTTAAAATAAATTATTGTTTTGTTATTGTTATTGTTTTATTATTTAATTTGAAAT